GCGTCCTCGAGGGGGCCCAGCGGCACATCATTTGAACAGACACGAGCCCCAGGATTCCCCATGGGTTTCCATGCTTCTCCGGAGTCTCGTCTTCCCCACCACCTCCCGTGCTTTCCCACACTTTCCGGGGAGTCGACGATCACTTGCGTCTGTGTCCTGTTCCCTCCCGACAGACATCCGACCACGTGACCCGTGTCAGTCCAGGCGCCTGTCCTCGGGCTCGGCCTCTGGGGCCCGCACTCTCGGGCCCCGGGGCCGTCAGAACCCGCACACGGAAAGCTGTCCGCAGTGAAGGGGTCGGGACTCCGAAGGGGGCCCACACAGGACGTACGCGCCCAACCACGTGCATGCATACGGCCCCCCCATCCGCGAGAACGGCCTCGTGTCACGAACGTGCACGCGCTGCGCACGTTCGAACCCAACGTGGATTCGCGTACGCATATACACCACGAGAAGATACACACAGACACCCTCCGAAGGATGTTGCGTCTACCTTCAGGGAGAGCGGCGGTGTATAAAATCGCTGGCTGCCCGTGGGGACTTATAAACTGCCACCCTCGCCGAAGTCCCAGGAACAATACATTAGAAAGTGTCCGTGTAAGAAGCCGTGTGGCGGAGTGTACGTCCGCCGTTCGCTCCTGAACTCCTGCGCCTGTGCCTTTGTGTGTTGTTGTGTTGTCCTTCCTGTATACATAAATGCATACATACATACATACATACATACATACAAACAAACAAACAGACAGACAGACAGACAGACCTACCTACCTACCTACCTACCTACCTACATCAATACATGCATACATACATACATACATACATACATACACACATACATACATACATACATTACATACATACATGTTCAAAAAATAAACAAGCAAGACGAACAACAATGTTCCGACGTCGATTCCCCGTGCAATGTGTCTGCTTTCGTTCTTTCTCGGTGGCGGGCAGAGCTCCGGGAAGCTGCCCCTGATGCTATCGATAGGAAGCGGGTGAAACATTGATAAGCACACAGACCCAAGACAGCGCGACGACAGCGAGAGAGCGCGGCGGCAACGAGGACGAGAGGACAAGAGGACGAGGCAAAGGCGAGGCAGCGAGGCGACAGCGGAACAGCGGAACAGCGACTGTTTCGCGCGTGCCTTTGTTTCGCAAGACGGCCCTGCATGCTCGACGGTCCTCGTCGAGCCAAGATGTACATGTCCGAGCGATGCATGGGCACGCGCGCGGGCGCGCTCGACCTCGCGCAGACGCGCTCGGCTCGCGTGCGCGCGCTGGCGCCCGCGGGCGCGCACGACGCGCGTGGCCGCGCACGGCGCGCCACGTCGCTCACGCGATACCCGACGGTCCCCAGGGCCACCGGAAGGGGGCCCAAAGACCCCGCAGCCGGGGCAGCACCTCCACGAGCACCGTCCCGTCACGACCCGCTTCGAAGACGGAGGCAAGACGAGGACACGCTCGGCCCTCCACGACGGGTATGGCGACGAGGACAGACATCGAGGGGCTCGCAGAGCCGGCGGGTCTGGAGGATGCATGCGGAGCCGCAGCTCCTCTGGAGCGCCTGGGAACGCACTGGAGCGACCTGCCTCCGTCTCGATGGTCCTCAGAACGCGTGTTTGATCACGGACGCCCTCCAACACAACGCAGGCTGCCCGCCAACGGCGGGGCGGGGCGGGTGGAAGACACATTGGGCCAGGGTCATCGTGCTACCAGAAGGGACGTACCATAGGGAACGGGGAGAGCCTTCTCTGGCCTCGGCGGGACTAGGGCCACAGGCAGGCTCCACGACAGAAACCTTAGGAGCGGCCCGAAAAACCGAGCCCCTCCCGAGCCCAACGCGGTCCGTCTGTCAGCGCCTTGATTGTAGCGCCACGCCCTGAGAGGATCATCGCTCACCCAGGACCCTGCCCGAGTCTGCGCCGCGGCGGCTCCTGCTGCTTGGAGCGTTCCCTCCTCTTCCGGTCGCCCATCCTCTCGACCGAGCCCCTCGCGGAGGCGCCCCCGGGCTCCTCGTGAGGGGGGGGAGGGCTGGCTCACCGGGGGAGGGGATGCCGGGGAGACACCGGCCCGGAAGCGGCCACACCTCGCCGATGTTTGGCGTGAAAACGTCACGTTCTCCATGGCAAAACTATCGAAACCCAAGAAACCCAGGGCACCTTGGGGGCAAGCAGGATGTTTCTTGGCATGGGCCCCCACTGTAGGCGCGTTCGCGCGCTCCTGGGCGCGATCGGGCGATTGGGAAACCGCTGCGCCCCCCCCTGAGCCTGTCCCCTGGTGGCCGTCGGGTCACAGCTGGCGTCTACGGCGGCCGCTCGGAACGATCCGGGCGCGCCCCGGAACGCTCTCTGCGAGGCGCAGCAGCTGGAAGGCATCCCGAGGCTGGGAAGCCGTCGAAAACCAACAACGTCCAGATTGAGCAATTGGGGGATCGATAAGCCTCCCGCTGCCGCTGGGGACCTCCCAGGCTGCCGCGGCCGCGCGCACGCGGAGGAGGAGGAGGAGGAGGAGGAAGAGGAGGAGGAGGAGGAGGAGGAGGAGGCAAAGAGGAGGGGGAGGAAGGAGGAGGAGGAGGCGGAAGCGGAAGCGGAGAGGAGGAAGAGGAGGAGGAGAAGGAAGAGGAGGAGGAGGAGGAGGAGAGGAGGGAGGGAAGGAGAGGCAAAGAGGAGGAGGCGGAAGAGGAGGAGAAGAGGGAGGCGGGAGAAGGAGGAAGAGGATGAGGATGAGGGGGGGGAGGGGAGGAGGAGGAGGAGGAGGAGGAGGAGGAGGAGGAGGAGACGAGGGCATCGGCGCACCGACGCGAACTTGTCCGCAGCTTCGAGCTTCGAGGAGGAGGAGGAGGAGGAGGAGGAGGAGAAGGAGCAGGAGGAGGAGGAGGAAGCATAAGAAGAGAAGAGGGAGGAGGAGGAGGAGGAGGAGGAAGAAAAAGAGAGGAGGGAGGAGGAGGAGTAGGAGGAGGAGGAGGAGGAGGAGGGTGGAGAAGGAGGAGGAGGCGGAAGAGGAGGAGGGAGGAGGGAGGCGGGAGAAGGAGGAAGTCGAGGAGGAGGGGGAGGAGGAGGAGGAGGAGGAGGAGTTTTTGTTTCCCCCCACCGCAGGCGCGCACACCAAATCCATGTGTCAGATCCGCACTAAACATCTCAATGCAACGGGGCCGCGCAGCCAACATGCAAGGAGGGGGGGAGAGGCAGCAGCAGAGGCAGGCAAAGAGAAGCGGCGGCGGGTACTCTGCTCCGAGTGTACATGATCCCTGGCGGGCGCGCCCCCCCCAGGCACACAGAACAAAAGGGGATCAACACTCGAGCATCCGCCCCATGCCACACTCGCTCCACGGCTGACCGAGGGCCCAACCAACACCGCAGCAAGCAAGAGCAGACAAAAGGGGCGCGCCCCAAAAACGAGAAACCAACACAGAGAGGGAGGGAATACCTAAAGGCAGGCCGCCACAGTGCCTCGAACATCGTCGGGAACCTGAGGGCGAGCGGGGAACACTCCCTCGCTCCCTCGGGCGGGGCGGCAGCCGGGGCGCCTCGAACTTCGTAGGGAACCTGAGGGCAGAGGCGGGGCGCAGAAGAGGAGAACGACCTCCTCCGCGCCAGACGCAACGGGTGTCTGGAGGCGCCACGGCTCGGCGTCGCGGGAAGGCCACCCTACCCTACCGAAGCAGCGAACGACCCACGGCCAAGCGAACCAGACCGCCCGCCCGTCGGGGAACCTGTAGATCACGGACACCAGGAGAGAAGCACAGGCAAGGCGGCTGAGAGAGGCGGGGGGGCGGCGCGGCAAGAGAGGCACACTCTCCCGCGCACCGCCCAGTCTTCGCCTGCAAGCGGAGGGGCCACAGAGAGCACTGACAGGCTCTCACAACCCAGGCTACAACACGGGGCCCTGAATTAACCAGAAGAATCAATGCAGAAACGGCACAACAGAAAGTAAACCTCGGAAAACCAGCCAGCCAACCCGAGAGACCCACCAGGGTCCCATCACACTCTGACAGCATCATGCATGGACCTAAACCTAGAGGGCCACAGGGAAAAGGGGAAACCAAAAGAAGAGGGACACGGCAACTCAGGAGAGGGGAGGCACGGCAGGAGGAGCCGGGGAGGCAGGGGGAGGGGCGGCAGCAGCAGCAGGCGCCCGCAGTGCACGTAGGGCCTCGTTAAGCCTGGGGTGCCGACGGGACAACTGCCGAAGCCTGGGTTTAATCAGGAAGTCCCCTGGCTGGACCGAACCAGTCCTGCGAGCATTGTGCGCTGCCAAAAAACAATATATTAAGGCACACCCCACTAGGTCCCGTGACCGTCCCCACTGTGGCCCCAGACAACAGAGCGTGAGGAGCCAGTCCTCGCCCGTGAGAGCCGCGGCCCAGGTCCTCAGAAGTCCACCACGGGGGAATTTGTCAGCCAACCCAGCCTTCAACTTGGGGCACACGCGATAATGCCTCAGATCGTCATTGGCCACATCCAGAGGACACCCACAGGCACAGCCCACCACCGTAGTACGCAGACGACTAGAGGTACAGACTCCTCGGCAGAGCACTCTAAGGACCCCCGTGACGAGGTGCATCGCGCTGTCCTTCTCCACTTTACGCATCCTCTGGGCAAGCACCTGAAAGTCAGCAACAGTAAAACGGCCGGGGCCCACCCACTTGGACACCCTCTGCACCATGGTGCGGAGGGGAAAAGCGGGGTCACGGAGCCCTCTGAGCTTGCGCATAGCTTTCTTCTGAAGGGATTTATTGGGGATGGGTTCCAGGGTCGGGATCGAGAAATTGCCTACTTTATTCACCGTCGTCCTAATCCAGGAAGGCTTCCACCCGGGCCAGCTCAGTCGAGCAGGAATGAAGTTATCGTCATCCAGGGAAACCGTCAAGGACTCCATCTCATACTGGACAGCATCAATACTGGAGCAGGACATCAACACCCGAAACTTGATAGCCTTCGAAAAACAATCGATGTCCAGGCACTCTAGAAAGGCCCCCAGCGAACGCAAGCCCGTCAGCATCTCTCTCGAGAAGGCATGGCGGGGACCAGCAGTGATCACCTGAAGGGCCTCATTATACGCTTTCCGAAGAGCCGTAGTCACAGGACAGAGTTGTAGCTGGTACGCCAATATCGACATGCAGTGCGAGCGAAAAAGACGAATAGTCTGAGGAAGTCCTAGCCAAAGCCCACGGAGCCTCCGAACCGTCATCCAGAACTTGGGAATGGTATTGCTCCATACTGTATCCAAAGCGCCAGGCCCAAGCCAAAATCCCAGGTACAAAACAACGCGAACAAACCCAATGCGATGATACTCACTCCCCTTGGCTCGAAGGTGGGCAACTAATCTATCAGGATCAAGCGAGCCAATCACCAATACCTTACATTTAGGAATGTTCAACCCCAGTCCTACCGCATGTCCCAACTTACGGAGGAGCGAAAGCGTCGGCTTAAGGTCCGTCAGGATGTTGGGAAGGCAGAACGAGAGATCATCAGCGTATGCTCTAGCTCTAATTCGGGTGACCTGGCCAGTGAGCCTGGACCTCATCCAGCGCAATACTGGGTCTAGCGCATAAGCGAAGAGTAGCATCGACGCAGGATCGCCCTGCCGCACACCACGTTCCACCGAAAACTCGATACCAGTAGTCCCAAGGAGGGTGATAACAGCCACATTGCCACGGTACAGCTCACGATTTATTTTATATATATACATATATATATTATTTTTTTTAAAAAAAAAAAAAAAAAAAAAAAAAAAAAAAAAAAAAACTCACCCGGAACGGAACACCCATAGCACCCAAGACCGCTAGGATCCAGGAGACGATCAGAGAGGGGAACGCCGCCTTAAAGCCCGCGAAGAGAATTCCCGAGCGATCCCCACCAGTAAGCATCTGACGAAGACCCCACCATTCAATCTCAACCACGTTGTCTAGGAGCCCACGTCGCGCGACCCCCCCTCGCTGGATCGTGCCAATCACAGTCGGAGCAGCCCGCTGGAGGCCGATGTCGCATCGGTGTTCGCAAGTGTGAGAGGTCGAGTCTTATCAGGTGACCGAACAAGGGCCGCAGGGTTCTCGTCGTCTTTGAGGTCTTTGGGCAGAAAACACATCCATCCACGACGCATGCACGCAGAGACCGTACCCCCCCGACGCCTGATACATCCCTCATAAACAGCAACCCCCCCCCCCCCCCCCCCCAGCTTTCCAGCACCCATACGGAATGCCATCCTCCCCAGGAGCAGAGTGATGCTTGAATTGGGCCCGCTCTATGAAACCGTCGACCTCCAACTTCCACTGCGAAGAGTCCAACTGGATCGGCTGGGCATGGGCGAGGATTTCAGGCCAAAGGGTCCGATCAGGTTCCTTGGCGGCAAAAATCGCTTGCCAATGGTCACGAAGGGCCTCAGCAGAGGCCGTCGGGGAAGGGCAAACTTGCCCTGAGCTGTCCAGGATTCCAGAGAGCCCGTATCGCCGACGCATCTTGGACCAGGCTCGACGAAGGTGTTGCAAGCGTGCCATTGCCTTAGCCTTAGACTTCTCGTCCTCCTCCCATCCGTCCATCGCCCGCTCCTCCGACTCATGCCAAGCATCCTTCAGAGACTGCACCAAAGCACCCAAGCCTGCTATATCCACGCATCTCTCATGGTCAGGATCGAAGTACTGAAGCAACCGCGGATACGCACGGATCGCGCGCACACACTGGTCGAACCTGCACATGCGCCACCCACGGAAGGCCATCATAGCAAAGTGGAGCTTCTCACAATTCTCTCTCGGAGGCTTCATCCGAAGCCGAGCCTTGAACTGAGGGGCCATCTGCCAGACAATCTCCTTCACCCGAGCCAATGTCTCCCGAGGGGTCAGATCCTGGTCGATTTCCATAATAGCGCTGGCACACAACTCATGGTAAACACAATGACGGGAAATCCATTTGGAATCTGGGTGGGCAACGCTGATGGCATTCTCAGAGCGACAGCGGCAACAACGGGGATATGGTCGGACGAGGCAAATGTCTTCACTGCATGTCCCAAGGTATTAACTGTCACAGCTAAGTCATTCAGAACGGGGGCAGAGAGGGAAGTGTAGATGCGGTCCAGGCGGGCAACCCCACGAACTTCTCCCTGGAACACATCCCGCCGCGTCGGATCAGGTTGGAAAAGCTCCGCCCAGGACCCACAGATAGACTGAAATGCATCGGTGTGTTCCCTATCTCCTGCTAGCCACGTGCCATCAGTACGGAACCGCCCCTCATCCACCTCCATAAAGTTCCAATCCCCTGCAATCAAGCACATGGTGTGCGCAGCCAAAGGAAGGAAAGCCTGAATCACACAAAGGTACCTGCGATACATCGCGACATGATCCGAGGTGTTCGGCATGTGTACATTGACAATCACTAAGTCCCCACGACATCCTTTCAGGTGCGAAGCGAGAACTCGGCCAGCAACGAAGAATCGATTCGAACTGCGAAGCCAGCTTACTCGAGATAACAGTAACCACACCACCCCCAGCTCTCGGATCGATCATCGAATGGTGAATAACTGCATTACGGCAACGGTCATCCCGCTGTAACATCTCCACATCCGACACTGTGCCATGAGTCCCCTGTAAACACACAGCGTCGAACCTGCCGACAAGACCATGCATCTGCTTGTACCGCTGAGCTGCCAATGGAGACGACGTAGAGTACGAAGAGAGGAGAGCACGTGTATTCCAAGAGCACAGGGCAAGCGCAGAGGAGGGGGCGAACACCCCATTCGCTCCAGAAGACGGGCCACCAGGGGTAAAAGGTCCGCCTGAATTCAAATTAAAACACGGGTTGGCTGGCTGAGCACAGTCCTGGCTAGTCGGAACACGGGTCCGATGGTTTCCCCCGACAGGCCCCGCATCCCAGGGGGGGGCCCGAACCACCAGGGACCCGACAAAAATCGCCAGGCAGCGCACTGGGAGTCCCGAGGCAGGGTGCGCCAGAACAACTGTGGGCCTCACACAAAGGGCCGAATCTGATCAAAAAGAGTTGCAATACAGCCTGCATGATCGCCTACTCCGAAGGTTCCGAGGGCCTCAGGAATCAGAACAAGTTCAGGACGACCACACTCACGGACCGTGACCTTCGCCAGAATCACTGGGTGAGTCGCCGTAATGAGGCCGTGTATTTGACCGCCGAGACCATTGCTGCCCACCTGGAAACCTTTCTCCCCCAAGACCTTCCCGATGATAGCACGAGTCTGCCCGAGGTAGTAGAACAACTTACGGCTAGCGGCCGCGGGGGGCAAGTCCCGACGCACACGGAGCTCCCATCCCTGGTTATCAATCGGGTTCTGGTACACAGTCTTACCAATAGTTTGGCTCTTCCCAAAGAACGCCGCGCATGACAGAGTGCTGTGGAAGTCAAGCATCACCTTCCTCGTGAGAGAGTATGCTCGAACAATCGGCTCCTCACCTGCTGGACTGCACGCGGCGACAATAGGGGCCACCGCTTCCTTGAGAGACGCCTCCAGAAGGGGTTTTTCAAATCCAAGGACGACAAGACGGGTAGCACTGGCTTGGTCAGGCCCCGACGTACGCATCATCTTCCGACGCCCTCCTTCCCCTTCTCCTCCCACGAGCTCGAACTCCGAGTCGGCACGAGTCGACGAACATGCTGAGAGCTTATGCTGTAGCTCCTGCATCTGACCTTCGACCTTTGTCACTGCTGCAGCAAGCTTCGCATCTGTGTCAACCGAGACCTGGTGGATCGCTGCGTCCTGGGATTGCTTAATCTCTGCCCAACGAGCCTCCGACCGACGATTCAACTCCGCGAACTCCTCCTGCATACGATCGAAGTTGGACCCCATCACTGTCATCTGCGTACTGAACATTTCAAAGTTCTAGGTATGCGCGGAGAATCCTTCCTTCACTAACTTCGTCAACGCGTAGATCTGCGCTGACACCTCGCTCTGTACCTCGGGCGAGGCGGGTGGCACACTTCCTCCTCCCGCCCCCACAGGGGCAAAAGATGGTGAACGTTCTGGAGAGCCGCACATGGAGCCCGTCGTGCGAGCGCCCTCGGCCATGGCTGAAGGAGGGGACAGGAAGGCCGGCCGCAGGCGCAGGCGCGCGGGCCGAGAGGGAGGGAAACAGGGAGACCCGCGGCGCGGGTCGGGGGGAGCCAGGCCACGCGGGTCGCGCAGACCACCCTGAGCCGATACGGCTTGAGCCAAAATGGCTTGAGCCAAAATGGCTACGGAAAGAGGAGGAGGAGGAGGAGGAGGAGGAGGAGGAGGAGGAGGAGGAGACGAGGGCATCGGCGCACCGACGCGAACTTGTCCGCAGCTTCGAGTTTCGAGGAGGAGGAGGAGGAGGAGGAGGAGCAGGAGGAGCCCTGAATCTATCGCCCCCCCCCCCCTGAGCCTGTCCCCCCCCCATCGTTGGCCCCGATCCTCGCCGCCTGGCGCCTCCGCGTCGCCGCCAGTGACCTCGCCCTCCGCGTCGCCTCCAAGGCAGTGGTGGCTGCAGAACTTGAGGAGGCTGCACCTGAGGGGCAACGGTACGGGGGAGGGGAGAGCTAGCATGAATAGGGTCGGGGGGTGCTAAAGGTGCCTCTGGCCGAAGGTGCCCCCAGCTTTTCGCTCCACGTCGGAGCCCCTCTGGCCCCGTGGTCCTCGTGAGGCGTGCTCTGGAGGCCGTGGGGGCCTCCTTGGAGATCCTGGGGGCACCTTGGGCCTGGGGCACTTCCAGCAACACCCGGGACGGGGGGACACATCGACCTGGAGTCGGCGCTGCATCGCCGATAGATCGGCGATAAGCCCCCGATCGTGAATCCGCACGATCCTGGGCAGGTTGGGGCTATCAGAGCCCTATCGGCGATGAATGGGCGATTGGGGGTCGACGCATTCCCCCCTATGCCTATCCCCCGCTATGGTTGCCCCTGAGCACCGCGTCCCGTCGAAGGCCCGCTGCATGTATCGGGCAGCCAGTAGACGCAGGGCCATTAATTGGCGGCGCGCTCGGGGGAGGAGTGAAAGGGACAGGCCTTCTCTGAAGGCGGCGGGGTTTCTCAGAAGCACTGCGGCACTGCGGCCTTCCGGGAAGCCGTCCCTGTCTTCGGAGGAGGCTTAGGAAACTTCTCAGAATGCCCGGGGCCTTCCGAGCCTTCTGAGAAGGCCCGCCCCCTCTGACTTCCCCCCTGGGCTCGCCGCCGAAACAAACGTAGGTGAATCGAGGACTGCAGGAAAAGGGCACTAAAGGTGCCCTTCAGGGCCCCTGAAGGGGCCCCTGGGGCCCCAAAAGGGGCCCTGTAGGGTCCCAAACGTGCACCTTCAAGGCCTCCCAGATGAGATCGGAGCACATGGGGTCGGAGGATCGCGCCGCATCGTCGATGCAACGGCGACGTCGGCGGTGCATCGGCGATGAAGGCGTCGAGAAATCCGACTGAAGGACAGGGGCTCTATCTAAAGCGTGCTCCTTTCTTCACCCCGCGTTCATTGCTCCTACGTCAACGGCCGCCCGAATGTACAGCGCCCGCTCCTCTGGCGTCTGCTGCACCTCGCGTGCGCAGGGGAGAGGGGCCAGTAACAGGGGAAGGCGCAGCGTGTTCGCCAGATACGCGCCAACCGCCAATCAACGCACCAAACGCGCGCTGATCAAGCAAAAAGAAAAAAAATAATGCGGCAGGCGAGGCTGGCCAGCCAGAATGAGTACTTGGCCAATACACACGCCCGAGCCACGCTACGAATGCGCTGGGCTAGAACCATCGCGCGCGCTTCGCGCGCGCTCAGGTTCTAGCCCACGCCGGGGGGGCGCTGGACGATCTTGGACAACGCTATCAAGCATAGGCGCGCGACGGCATCTGAGGAGCTCCTGGGGGGGGGGGGGGGGGGGCATTTCCGAGGGGGCCCCACATGGGCCCCACCTCCTCTCGCTGCGGGAGCTTCACGACGGACAGTGCCTTGGGCGTCAACTCATCGGGGGCGATGAATGGGAGGGGAGCGGAACGACGCGCACCTTTCGTGCCCTTCCTGGGATCCAGGGGGGCCCTCTAGGGCACAAGAGGTGCACCCCTCTTCACCCCCACGCATTGCACCCCCAGTACTGGAGGCGCACACAAATGGGATGGGGGGAAGGGGAGAAGGCTGCCTCGAAGGAGGCTGCTGCAGAGAGGGCGCCAGTCCTACATCTGCAGGTAAGGGCCCGCGCCGTCTAAGAAGCATGGGTGCTCCTACAAGCCTCGTCAAACATGAATCGAAACGCCGTTCAGAATCGAAGCGCCCAATAGTTCGGGCACTTGTCAGAAAACGTGCTCTTCAATGCTACGAGGGCGCTGCCGGATTTCGGACACTCCTGCGCGCGGGCCGCACGCCTCATGCGTAGTGCCGACCGCGCAAGCGCCGAAAACAAAAACCGTCAGTTCGTGTTTAACGAGTCTTGCAAGAAGCCCTCCCCCCGTCCCTCCACCCCCCCATGCGCGTGGCCACGGGCTCTGCGGAGCCCGAGGCGGCCCCAAAGACTTGGCCCCCAGCAGGCGGCGTGTCCTTGACCGCTTGCTGGGGGGCAAGCATCCCAAGTCTGGCAGGCCCCTGAAGGGGGGGGGACTAACTGGGCGAATCTTCTCTCTTCCTGGAGCTATGCCTGTGAGCAGACGCTGCCTCTTGAGCTCGTTTCCTCGTTCCCCCCCCTGCGCGTGGCCGATCTAGCCCCCTAGATGGGGATATAGGCCGTTCCCTTCGGGTTTCGAGGGGTGTATCCCCAACTGGGGGGGTAATTAGGTGGGGGTCTCGATGGGGATGGGGATGGGGATGGGGATCGGTTAAACGATACTGGTGCGCGTGGCCGCATTTACCGCACCCCCCCGATGGACTTGTTTTCCACCACCACCATCATAAGTTGGAGGGGGATGGGGTCCTCCTCCTCCTCCTCCTCCTCCTCCTCCTCCTCCTCCTCCTCCTCCTCCTCCTCCTCCTCCTCCTCCTCCTCCTCCTCCTCCTCCTCCTCCTCCTCCTCCCCCTCCTCCTGCGCGTGGCCGAACTTGCCGCACCCCCGTGGCTCGACGCCCGAATGCTTGGCCACGGCGTGCCCCGCGCCGGGCCCCCAGAGGCCGCCAGGACACTGCCGTGGCAAGAAGGAGCTGGTCCCTCGGAGAGGGGCGCAGGCCTCCGGGGGCCCACGGCCTGGAGAAGTCACGACGACGACGACGACGAACGACGGACGACGGACGACGGACGACGGACGATGGACGACGGACGACGACGACGACGACGACGACGACGACGACGACGACGACGACGACGACGGCGGCGGCGGCGGCGACGACGACGACGACGACGACGACAACGGCGCCGAACGACGAACGACGACGAACGATGACGGGGGGGGGCTGGAAGAGGGGGTTGGAGCGCCGACCAAAAGGATGCTGGGGAGCATCTCGGGCCACGAGGCCTGGGAGACCGCATGGCTCCTGGCCATGGTATCCAGCCCCGCTGCCCGGAGCTCCGACGTCGTGTCTTTCTCACAACGTGGAGCCCCAGAGCTCTGGACCCAACCCCCCGGCCCCCAGAGGCCGAAGATGGGAAAAGACCTCCGATCGCGTGTCTGCCACAACGAGAGGAGGTAGGAAGGGGGGGGGGAGTGCTGACCCCCACTCTGACGCCCCCTGCTGCACAAGCTCCAGGTGCTCCACCACCGGGATCTCGGGCAGCTCGGAGAAGCTCTGCCGCACGAAGGCGCCGAGGAAGTTCGGGTGGGCGCCAACGGCGGGACGACAAACGCGGTGCGATCGATGGTTTTTCAAGAGGGACTAGCACGACCACAGAACTTCACCTGACTCGGCCTCGACCGCTGTGCGGATCAAAAGGTGGCCAGGCAAACCGAAGACACCACAAGAGCCGACCTGCGAAAGGCAACCTCACGCAGTGAACCGTGGCCTGAACGAGGAGGGTGCGATCAAGGGTTGCAGGAACGTGGCCAGACAGGGGCCCTCCACGGGGCCTCGGAAAACTGCCACCCCACGTCCAAAAGGTGCTGGTAGAGCACGCCATCAGGTCCCCCGCAGTTGCACTCCCCCCTGTTGCCGTCCGCCCGAGAACTGCTGGCACAGAACAGGGTCCTCTGGGATGTGCACCCGCATGATGCTGGCGAGGTTGGCGACCTGTAACTTGTCCCGCCTCGGCGGGGTGCCAGTTAGGCCCCACCTGAGGGGCAACGATGGGGGGGATAGGAAGGGATAGGCATAGGGGGGATGCATCGCCCCATGCATCGTCCATACATCGTCGAAACAGCGCCCTGATGTCGACGATGCATCGTCGATGTATCAACCATTCGAGGTCGATATATATATATACATATATGTATATACATATATAGAGAGATATCCCTATGCCTAGGGCCTATCCCCCCTCAAAAACTTACCCCCGACCACCGGTGGCGGCACCGCAGGTTCTGCAGCATGGTGAACCTGCGCGTATCCATCGCCTCAAGCTCGTGGAACTCGTCGAAGACGACCCTGTGCCAGAAGAACAGCTCCAGGGGGGGGCAGCGCAGGTCCTGCCAGCGGTCACAGGCCCCGAGCAGGCGGATGCGCTTTCGCACCTGCTCGGGAGTGAGCTGGTCGGCGTGGTCTTCTGCGGCCGGCGTGGTCTCCGCCATTTCGTTCTGCGTCTTGGAGCGCATCACCCAGCCGACCTGGTTGGCGCCCTGGGACAGCACGGCGGCCTCGGCCTTCTCGACCTCTCGCAAGGTGTGCTCAATCGCCATGCCGTAGAATGAGCGCTCGTGCAGCCGGTTACTGCGAGTGCACTGGAGAGACTTCAACCGATCGATGTAGCCCGTCGAGTAAAAGAGCTTGTACGTGGTCAACACCACCTCACAGCCCAGAAGGTCATGCACAGTGAGGCGCTTGAGGTCAGAGATGGTGCGCACGATCACGAACTTGAAGGCATCTGGGCCGAGGAATCCAACCAACCCTCTGGGCTTAGGTCGTTTAGGGAGTTGGTCCTTCCGCTCCCCCCTCTTCCACTTCGGGGGAGAGGTTAACCACTGCTCTTCGCAATCAATCAGAATCCCCTCCCCCACATGACGGGCCGCCAACCAGGAACCATACGCCTCACCCCACCCCCACTGTCCCTATCCGAAAAGCAACACAACGTGCACACGATGGCACAACCTGAATCGTGAGCGGGCACTGCTCCAAGTGGCCGCGACGCCTGCCAAGCACACCCCAGAGGGGCCAAAACCATTCAAACCCTTGTTGTGTGTGTCGAAGATGGTTGGCGTCTCACCTTTCACATTCGATTCGCTTCCAGTGAGCTCCTGAGGCATCAAGTCGGCCCCAAGATCACCCAAGAGGGCCCTAAAGAGCGCCACGACGGCCTCTGGAGCACCGACAGGCCGCAGGACGCTGCTTCTCGGGCTGTTGCGGGGGGACAATGATTGGCGCCGCCCCCATCTGAAATAGGAAACCATTAGAACGCGTGAGGCTCTGGAATTCGCGTTCCTTTGCATGGGACAGCATTGACAGGCGCTGGGGCCAAGATGGCTCCAAGACGGCCTAATATGCCTTAGATGGCCTCCAAGGTCGCTTCTTCCAGAATGGCTCCTCCGAGGTGGTTCAAGGCAGCTTCTTCCAGAATGTCTCCAGCAGACCCCAAGACGGCGCCAGGACGGCGCCAGGTGGCCCGGGAGACCCCCACGGACCACACACACACACACTTTGACACACACTGACACATTCACACACACACACAACAAAAACACAGACAACACAATCGACAACGTAAGGCATGTCAATGATGTGTGCCTTCCGTCTGTTCGTTTCGGATCAGCTGTTGTGGCATCAAAACGGCTCCCAAGACAATAAGAGCGCCAAACACAGCCCCAAGGGCGCCACAGAGCGCCCCAAGAGCACTCAGAGAGCGTCCCAAGAGGTGATGCTTCAGCCTCCGACGGGGGTACGTTGGCAAAATAACGGCGCTCCTTGTTTGATGAATAGCTCCCTGGATCGGCCAAGGAGTACTCCAAAAGCCCCCCGCCAAGATGGTGATCCACAACCACGAAGGCATGTACACTCCTGGGTCTGCTCAAGCTGATCCTGAGCTTCGGATTGACGGATGCCTCCCATCTCTGTCCGACTGCTTGTTCCTGCTTTCCCTGATCAAACCAACTCGCCTGGGCATCGTTCCTGGATAGGTTTGAATGGGCACGCGAAGCGTCAAGAATTTATTGAACTCACCCTCCCATTGACCCAACAGATTGGGTAGAATAAGAAAAAACACATCAGCACAAACTTTGGAAGGTCCGTGCGGATTTCTAAGATCGGCGCTGGACGCCCCTCCCTGGCGCGCGGAGCGTGCCAGGAGCGACACTTGTAGCGCCGCAAGCGGGGTCCAGCGCAGATCTAAACAATCCGCGCGGACCTTCGAACGACTATGATTATGCTGTTTTTTCTTATTCGATTGGAGGGCACCAGGATGAGGGTCGCCGGGTTCGGAATCAGATGGCTCGCCTCGGGCGGAGGCACTGGGGACGGACCCCTCTGGGCACGCTGGCTGTCCAGGAGTCCGATGAGCGTGGCAGTCTTGCCAGAGCCGATGCTGTCTCCCAAGACGCCACCGCTGATCGTGAATGTGGCCTTCAAACAGGTTTCGTAGCACCATGCGAACCCACTCCGCTCCTCGAAGCACTTCCAGTAGTCGCGCTCACGAGTGTACTGCCAGAGCGAGCGGTTACCCGGCTGGTCCTCCCACCTGACCCCGGGGACAGTGCGGTCCCGCACCTGGGTGAACGAGCATACGCAGGTACGTACCGCCACTCCCCGGAGCTGTCCCAGGGCGCGTTCTGACCAGGATTCCGAAGCGAATCCAGCCGTGGCGACGAGGGCCCCCCGTCGAAGCCCCAAAAAAGCGAAAACGAGGTGTGGGCATCGGCATTGAGAGGATCAAAAAGAGTGAGGGGGTGAGCAGTCATTTATTGTCCCTGGGTGCGTGACTGAAACGGGATTCCGTGGCCTGGATTGTTGTTTATTGTTGTCTCTTGTTGTTGTCGTCCTCACCCGCGACCCCCCGCGACCCACCTGCGACCCACCCCGCGACCCACCCGCAACCCACCCGCGACCCACACCACGAACCACCCACGACCCATCCGAGATCCACCCCGCACCCGCCCCATCCCTCTTATCCGCAACTACGGGGAGCTTCATAAGTTCTCGAAGTCCGCGCAGATGTCTTGGATCTGCGCTGGACCCCCCTCTCTGGCGCGCGGAGCGCGCCAGGGGCAGCGCCAGAGGTGACGCCAGGGGGGCTGAGCGAAGATTCAGGAAGCATGCGCGAACCTCCGAGAAAGTATGGTTATGTAGTTGTTTCTCCTTTGTCTTCTCAGTTTTGCTAATATTATGATTATTCGTACGATGACTATGATGAGTCGTATGGTTAATCATAGCAACAACAACAACAACAACAACAACAACAACAACAACAATCATAACATTATTACTATCATTGTTAGTATCATTATTACGATTACTACTATAAGTCATATCACGATTCATCTGATTATTCTTCTTCGAATACCGGTGTACTCTCCTCACGTGAGCACCTCCGTCTCGAAGGCCGTGGGCTGGGCCTCTCTGTCCAGCATCCAGCGGAGGGACCTGAGCTGCTCTGGACGGAGCCGGTGGCGGCGGAAGCGCGGCGGCTGGGCCGCCTCTGGCTCGCAAGTGCAGCCCTGTAGGAAGAAAACGTCCGCCTCGTGGGCGTCCTCCTCGTCGAGGGTGGGCTGCCAGCCTGGAGAGGGCACCAGGGGGGCAACAAACACACATTGTCTTACGCCAGTGGATATAGCCACCTTACGCCGCGGCTAACGCGGGCCGCTCGAGTGGCACACTACGTGGTGAAGTGGGCGCTTACGCGCGGCCTTACGCGGGAAGCTTACGCGCGAATATTGGCGGCGTCGACCCCACATTCTTCCGGCGCCCGAGGGCCGGGTGGAAGGTAAAGGCGGGGGAATGGAGGAAACGACATTTGCACGCTGCACTGGTGACAAAATCCATGAACGGGAACACCCCTCCTTGCTCCGAAAATCCCCTCTCCTCTTGGCAACCAGGATCCCCGCCATCGCCTAGGCGGGCGAGAACCCCCCGCCCCTACCGCCCCCCTCGAAAGTGAAAGTCTGAAAGTCGAAGGGGGGTCGAAGGAACCCCCTGCCGGCGGCAAACGCCGTCGACGACGACCATGACGACGACGAAGGCGACGGGCGGGACGTTCAGTCAGGCGGGCGGGCGGGACATCAAATGCAACCCTCGCTGGTCGATGAGACAAGGTTAGCTGCATTTCGTGTCCCGCCCGCCTGCCCGACTGAACGTGTCCCGGCCGTCGTCGTCGTCGTCGCCGTCGCCGCCACCGTCGTCGTCGTCGCCGTCGTCACCGCCGCCGTTGTCGTCGTTTGCCAGGAGCCTGGGGGGGGGGGTCGATCCCCCCCTGCGAAGAGGGGGGTTCAACACCTCCGCGGACTTTTGAGACGGGGGATCGCTCTCGCCACCCCTAAGCGCAAACAGAAGGTGCTCTCGCCGACAGCAAGGAGGGGGGCTCCCTCGAGATGCTGGAGTTGGCCCTGAGGGGGGCAACCCCGCCTCCAAGAGGGTCCTGGAAGGGCGCACGTGTTCTTCACCCCCCCCCGTCTCGTCCCCCCGCATTGCCCTTCTGGCCGAACGTTTTCCAAGCTGTACAATAGTTAGCGGTGGGGGGGATCGGATCCCGCGACGGTGCGAGCGGTGGGGGGGTTGTCCAGCGAGCGCGCGCAGGGGTGCTGGCACTGGCCGTCGCGCGAGGCTGCACGGGGCTGCCTACGTATCGAACACCTCGGAGAGCCCATCCGAAGCCGACCATGGCCTGGCCCCCATCCTGGGGCCAGCATCGGTGGACACGCCCCCCCTCTCGGGATGGACGAAAATCGGGGGCGCAAAAACATAGATTAGCGATCCATGGATTTGGTGCGCGGTCGCCAAATCCATGGATCGAAAGAGGTGCCCTCCCCAAAATGCGGCCGGTGCCGCCTCGCTCGGCGGCGGAAATCCGCGATTTCCCATGGAGACGGGACCCGTCGCGAATCCAGGCCCCCTTGATCCATGCTTGCGATCGCCTGAGAAAAGCGAGTTTGAAAAATCAGCTCATACAGCCAATTTCCCCCCTCCCGGCGCTGGAGGCACCCACGTGTCGAGGAGACCGCGCAGCGGCGAGGCCGAAGGAGGCTGCATGCAGCAAATGTCATAACCGCCCTGGCCGCCCTGTCCTCTCGCCTTCCGTCCGAGCCGGCACCCCATCCAGGAAGATACAGCAGGTTCCTGCCTTGTTGGTAGATATTGGCATCGGCTCTGATTTCTGACGCCGCGTGAAATAGTTTCTGGTAGGTCCACGATATCCTTCCTCGCAAGTCTCACGTAGCCCCGTCTCTGTCAGGGAGGCGTCGTGACCGGAACTGTGCCCGAAAATCTGCCCTGGTGTGCACGAAACTGACGTCCGAAAGCGCCCGAGTGTGACCGAAATGTTGGTTCGAAACCAAGACGATTCTCAATGTCAGTCAACAGTTCGGTCACGCTACGTTTTCGGTCACAGCTTCGGGCAAGTGTTCGGTCACCGATGTTTTTGTACCTTTTCGGCTTAAAGGTGCCAGGTGCCATGACAAGTCCCTTGCCGCCTTTCCTGCGTGTACTGCGCACTGACCTGTTTGCTGTGGACCCCTGGGCCCACCAACGAGCTCCCAGAAAGGATTGAACGCCCGCGCTGGCGTCGCCGCCGCGTCGAGGCGCGTTGACGATTGCATGTCCCAACCATCCTGTGTATTGGGTCCTCTTTTGAAGAGACAGCGCTCCGCGCCCCTCCTTTCTCCTTCCTCCTTCCTCCTCACGCTCCTCCCTCCTCCCACCACTGCCTCTGCCCTCCGCATGTTTCATTTCGGCACACCCCCTCACACGTTTCGTGGTCCCATCGGGGGCTCCCCCTGAGGCCCCAGTGGCAGGCTCCACATGAGGTTCCCCGCCCCTCGTATGCCCAGTTCGGCACACCCCTCACACGCTTCGTGACCCAATAGGGAGCTCCATCTAGGACCACAGTACGTGCGGCCACATGCGGCTCTCCGCCAACCGCATGTCCATTTCGGTAAACCCCTCACACGGTTCGTGGCCCCATGGGGAGCTCCCTGGGGCCAGGGGGGTGCGGCCGCATGCGGCTCCGCGCCGACAGCATGCCCATTTCGAAGCTCCCCTCACACGCTTCGTGACTCCATTGGGAGCTCCACCTAGGACCACAATGCGTGCGGCCACGTGGGGCTCCCCGCCCACCGCAAGTCCATTTCGATGCACCCCCTCACGTGTTTCGTGGCCCCATAAGGAGCTCCAACAAGGCCCGAATGGGTGCGGCCACATGCGACTCCCCGCGAGCCGCATGTCCAGTTCGGTAAACCTCTCACACGTTTTGTGACCCCGTGGGAAACTCCACTTAAGACAACAGTGCGTGCGGCCACATGAGGCTCCCCGCCCACCGCATGCCCACCTCGCACGCTTCGTGACCCATAGGGAGCTCCACACAGGGCCCCGCGTGTGCGGCCACATGCGGCGCCCCGCTCACCGCAAGTCCATGTCGGTACACCCCACACACATTTCGTGGCCCCATAGGGGCCCCACCTGAGGCCTCAGTGGCAGGCTCCACATGCGGCTCCCCGCCCATCGCATGTCCATGTCGGCAAACCCCCTCACACGTTTCGTGGCCCCGTAGGGAGCTTTGTGGCCCCATAGGAAGCTCCACCTGAGGCTCCAGTGGGTGCGGCCATGTGCGGTTACCCACGCAGTTCGGCACACCTTTCACACGCTTCGTGGCCCCATGAGGAGCTCCACGGACGACGACATGAACCACTCCGGCACTCACAGCTGCATGAGGCTGGGTCCTTCGCCAAGAAGAATCGATTTATGCCTGGTAACGGTCGTGAGCACGTCGGAGCGGGGGTGCGCTGCGATCGCCACGGCACACGCGCGAGCACCAGCGAGTGGGGGGTCCATGCCCCCCGTCCCTGCGCACGACCGGGGGGGGGGCGAGGCCAGGTGACCACCGTTTCGCGCCAGAGTATAACGAACAGCCTCCTAGACGCCCGCACGGCAGGTCCGTGTCCTGGCGACATCGGCGTTGGTTCCTGACACCGCGGGGATCCTTCAACCTTGAACGATCGGCCCTTTCGACCGATTCTGGGTCGCCTGCGGCGTTCAACGTTGAACGACAGGGGTGGGGTCGCCGCCGATCGACACGACGCGAACCTACCGTACCTGCACCGACGTTGCGAAAAGAAAGCAACATCGTGAAGATCACGCATGGGGCCCTAGACCCCACCATCTGCTTTATGTTTCGAGCCGGGTCGATCAGTGATGGCCCTGGAGCCCGAGATTGGGCAAAAACGCCGAGTGTGAAAGAATTGCAAACCCTGGATCCCAGAGGCTAATGAACAATCTCCTGGACGCCCGTACCTGAACCGACCCTGGGCTCCTGAACCGCCCCCTGGCTGGGAAGACAGCCTTTCTGTCAGGCTGCGCCGAGACGCGCAGCAGCACAGCACCAGAAACCCTCCTCCTCCTCCTCCTCCTCCTCCTCCTCCTCCTCCCTCCTCCTCCCTCCTCCTCCTCCTCCTCCTCCTCCTCCTCCTCCTCCTCCTCCTCCTCCTCCTCCTCCTCCTCCGCATCATCATCATCATCATCATCATCATCATCATCAACATCCTCCTCCTGGCCGATCCTAGTGCACTACTAGACAGCAAACTCCAGCACACCCAGTAGGGTTCGTCTGGTCGGTCGTTCCTCCTCCTCCTCCTCCTCCTCCTCCTCCTCCTCATCATCATCATCATCATCATCATCATCATCATCATCATCATCATCATCATCAGCATCATCATCATCATCATCCCCCTTCTGCTCCACCTCCACCTCAGCATCATCATCTAATCAGCCTTTATCATCACCATCAGCCTTCGCAAGTCATCATCAGCATCATCATCATCATCATCATGAGCAGCAGCATCATCATCATCGTCATCGTCATCGTCATAATCAACATCATCAATATCATCATCATCGTCATCATCATCCTCAGCAGCAGCAGCATCGTCATCATCATCATCATCATCATCATCATCATCACCATCATCAGCATCATCATCATCACCACCACCATCATCGTCACCATCATCATAATCATCATCATAATCAGAATTATAATCATCAGCATCGTCATCATTATCATCATCATCAGCAGCAGCATCATCATCATCATAAGCACAATCAGCATCATAATCGTCATAATCACCTTCAGTATCATCATCAGCATCATCATCACAGCCATCATCATCATCATCATCATCAATATCATCAACGTTATCATCATCATCCTCATCATCATCATCAGCATCATCATCATCATAATCATCATCCTTAGCATCAGCATCATCATCATCATCGCCATCATCATCGTCGTCGTCGCAGTCGTTATCCTCAATCTAACCCTCATCAGCTACGGCCACCATCAGCACTATCACCATCCTCACCCGCATGCTCATCCTCCTCATCATCATCATGATCATCACCACCACTGTCATCATCATCATGATCATCATCCTCATCAACATCGTCATCATCATTATCAGTATCAGCATCATCATGTTCGTCGTCACCCGTCATCGTCATCATCATCATCATCAACATCATCATCATCAGCATGATCACCATCGTAACCATCATCAGCATCAGCATCAGCATCAGCATCAGCATCATCACAATCAACATCACGATCGGCACCATCATCACCATCACCATGACAATCACCATCAACATCATCAACATCATAATCAGCATCATCATCAGTGCCATCGTCATCGCCACCGTCATCATCAGCCAAATCCTCATAACCACCACCACCACCAACACAATCATCACCATCAACATCAGAATCATAATCATCATCGTCCTCATCATCATCATCAGCATCAGTATCATCATCAACATCATCATCATCATCATCATCATAATGGTCAGCGTCCTCATCCTCGTCCTCATCCTTACCCTCGTCCGCCTCATCCTCCACATCCTCATCCTCATCGTCGTCATCGCCACCACCATCATAGTCATCAGCACCATCATCAACACTATCACCAGCATCATCATCATCATCATCATCATCATCATCATCATCATCATCATCATCCCCGGCATCACCATCCTCATCAGCACCATCAACATCGTCATCTTCAGCCAGCAATCGCAACGCCACTCGTCACCAGCATCATCGTCACCAGTATCATCATATTCATCCTCATCTTCACTCTCATCCTCATCCTCATCCTTCTCCTGCTCCTCTTTCGCCTGCTCCCCATCCGCATCCTCATCCTCATCAGCACCACCACCACCACCACCACCATCATCATCATCATCATCATCATAATCAACAACAACATCACCAGCATGATCATCAGTCTCATCATCACCATCACCATCACCAGCAGCAGCAACATCATCATCATCATCATCAGCATCATCATCCTCGTCAAAAGCATTCCCATCAGCAGCATTATCACCACAATCATCAGCATCCTCAACAGCACCACCATCATCACCGTCACCATCCCCACCATCATGATCGTCATCATCATCATCAGCATCATCACCGTCGTCGTCGTCAGCAGCAGCAGTATCATGATCAGCATCATCATCACCATCACCACCACCACCATCATCAGCATCATGATCATCATCATCATCATCAGCAGATTCGCCATCACCGTCGTGATCCTCCTGATCATCTGCCTCAGAGTCATCATCAGCATCCGAACCATTCTGGCCACCATCATTTCTCATAATCAGCATTATCAGCATCATCATCAGCAGCATCATCATAATCACATTCATCATCATCATCATCATCATCATCATCATCATCATCATCATCATCATCATCATCATCATCATCATCATCATTATCATCGCCGCCATGATCATCAGCCGCATCAAACTAACCATTCGCATCATCATCACCATCAGCTTTAAAAACGTCAGCAAATGATCATCATCGTCATCTGCATCAACATCATCATCAACAACGTCAATCAGCATCGGCGGCATCATCATCATCATCATCATCATCATCATCATCATCATCATCAGCATCAACATGATCAGAATCATCATCATCATCATCACCATCATCATCAGCATCATCATCATCATCGCCATCGTTATCGTTATCACCATCATCGCCAGCAGCATCATCATCACCATTATCATCATCGTTAGCATCATCAGCATCATTGGCATGATCATCATCCATCATCAGCCTAATGTTAATATTCATTATCATCATCATCATCATCCTCATCATCCCCCATCCTCATCACCATTATCATCATCATAAGCATAAGCATAAGCATTTCATAACCAGTCTCGTCAATACCATCATCACCATCATCAACATCATCATCAACAACATAAGCATCCTCATCACCGTGACCATCATCATCTGGCTGCGTCACCATCATCATCCTTTTCCTCAATAAAATATTCAACATCATCATCAACATGCTCCTCCTCCTCATCATCATCAGCCTCATCATCATCCTCATCAACGTCATCATCTTCATCATCATTATCATCATCAGCATGATCCATTTCATCACCCGTCATCGTCATCGTAATTCCAATCATCCTCATCATCCTCGTCATCATCAGCAGCAGCAGCAGTAGCGGCATCATCATCACCACCACCACCCTCATCATCATAATCATCAACATCAGCAGCACCTCCATTTCTCGTCAGCATCTTCATCCTCCTCGTCACCATCATAATCATCATCATCCTCATCATCCCCATCCTTATCATCATCGTCATCATCAGCATCAGCATCAGCAGCAGCAGCAGCTACATCATAACTGTCATCACCATCATCACCATCACCGTCATCATCACTAGACATCGGTACCTGCACCGACCCCTGTCTCGGGACTGGCCTGGCCTGGCTAGGACTTGGTGCTGGCAGGCAGCCGTTACGCCCCTGGGGGCCTGGCGGCTCCAGGGGCGCGCACCGCCAGCTCAGGCGCACGCCGGTGGCGTGGAAGACCAGGCGCCTTGCCAGCTGCTCCTGTGGGAGGGGCCGCCAGCTGCACCGGCCATGCTGGGGGTCCACGTCATGGAAAAATCAGGGCGTCGGGGCTCTGAGAGCACAGCCTGGCCTGCCGCTTCCTGGGCCCAGGATCGGAGCACACACGCCCTCAACACGGAGTCCGGGCCGGGAAAGAACCAGACTGGGACAACTCGGGGATCTGTGAGATCCAGCGGTGCTGGAAGATGTATCGGTCTGAAGGTGTAAGTGCCCCCAGCTTTTCGCTCCATTTTGAAGCCCCTCGGGCCGGGCCCGTGAGGGGAGCTCTGGAGGCCGTCTGGGCCACCCCAGGAATCCTGCGGGCACCTTGGGCCAGGAGCACTGCTAGCAACACGTTCTGGCACGTTCAGGGCGCAGAGCCCTGTCCAGAGCGTTCCGGAACGCTCTGAAAGCGTTCCGGAACGTCCTGGTAAGACACAGGGCTGAACCTAAACGTTGTGTTTCGTTCTGTTTTCGTTTTGTTTGTCGTTTTGCTCTACCTGTTTTCCTGCACCTCCCTGCCAAAATGAAAAACAAAGCACAGCCGAAATCCAGCAAAACAGCGTTTGGGTCCAGCCCTGGAAAGACGCATGCCGGTCCGATACCCCGCCCGAGACCCCCTGGTCTGGCCTGGCGGGCGGGCGCACCGATCCCTGGCCTAGGATATGCCTGCCCAGGGCCGGCGCAGAGGGAGGTGTGGAATCGGTTGGTGCCCTCCGTGCTCCAGCGCAAGGGAGGGGTTCCACTCCTGTCGGGGGCGCGCAAACATGGATCAACGATCCATGGACTCGGCGCGCGGTCGCCAAATCCATGGATCGGGGGGAGGTGCCCTCCCCAAAATGCGGCCGGTGCCGCCGGAGCCGCCTCGCTCGGCGGCGGAAATCCGCGATTTCCCATGGAAACGGGACCCGTCGTTTGCGATCGCCTGATCCCTACCCGATCGAGGCGTAAGCTGGCAAGAGCACACCCGATCGAGCAAGCAAGAGAGACAGGCATGAGAGAGAGGATGTCCTCGAATGAAACATCTCCCCGACCCGAGCATCGCGGCTTTTTGGGTGTCCGCTGCTCTCACGAGGACTCGCAGGCACGAGCCCGCAAGACCGACCCCCCGCCTCCCCAGAAGCGGGCCGCGCCGGCTCTCCAGGTGGGCTCTAAACTGACGACCAAGCCATGCGACGGTATGAGGTTTGTTTCACTGCGCGGCCCCTGAAATCCCGACCCCTTCTTCGGGCTGAAGAACACATGGGACGCACAATCACACACTAGTACTATTTGTCCTCCTTGGAGGCGCGCGTCCGACCCGAACATCTAGTGCACCCGTCTTGTATAGCAGATCGTTACCCGAGCGGTGTGGTCAGAAAGCGCCCGCCACGACGCATACACTATAAGAGTTCTCGGTGAGCGCGTCGCCCCCAGGGGCGCGACGCACATACGTATAGCATGTTGGGGCGACGCCGGAACACACAGGCCCCGATGGCGAACCCGCACGCTCCTGGGCGAGGTGGGCTATCGGGCCCGCCTCGGCGATGAATGGGCGATTGGGGCTCCCCCCCTGAGCCTGGACCCCCCCTGGCTGAGGGGGAAAGTCAGGGGGGGACCGGCTCATTGGGGGGGGGAACCTTCGAGCTGGCGCCGGCGATGCATCGCCGACGGATCGGCGTCAGGCCCCCAGTAGCGCAACCGCACGTCCCTCGGCAGGGTGGGCCACCGGGCCCCTATCTGCGATGAATAGGGAACTAAGGGCAGATGCGCGTTCCTATGGCGGGGTGGGCCATCGGGCCCACATCGGCGATGCATGGGGGATTCGCTCCCCCCTGGGCCCGTCCCCCCCGTCGTTGCCCCTGACCTCTTCGAGGCCTCACGGCTTTCGGGTCATAACTCGGGCCTCTGGCGGCCGTCCGAGACGAGCCAGGCACCCCCGGACCGCCCTAGATGAGGCTGCAGCTTCCAGAAGACATCCCGAGGCTGAAAAGCCGCCGAGGACCCGAAAAAAAAACCTCGCTATTGGCTTGAGAACGTCTGCTGTCCCTCGACTCACACTGCAGCTTCCACGATTGGGGGTCGATGCGATGCGCTCCCACTTCTGAGCTCCAGCGTTGCCCCTGACTGGTCCGACGTTCCCCGTTCGCCCACCCTGAAAAACGGCCAGAGGCCCACGGTGGAGGCGTTGCTTCGATCGGTCGTCCAGCACGAAGGAGAGGGGTCGTGGTGGAAGCGGGTCCTGGGCCCATGGGCTTCCCTCCGCGGGACCTGCCTCTCTTCCACCCCGAGCGGTCTTCTGGCTGCGCCCAGGACGGGCCCCGAGCCCACGAGAGCGGCGACAACGGGCAACCATGTGGACCCTGCCCATGCAGGCCAGAATAGAAAGGATGCTCAGAACATGGACCACTCGCGGGGGCTCAGAATAGAAAGGATGCCTGCAGCCAAATGAACCCCGGCGGGAGCGTCGGAACCTCCCACGTTGACTGGACCCCACGGGGTCGGGGTCGCAGGTGGTCGCAGAGAGAAGCCTCCTGGACCCCTTCTTCACGACCCCCTCTCGGGACTTGCCTGAGGTGTCCCAGGCTCAAGGTGTCCCGACGACGCTCGATGAGGCCCAGACGGCCTCCAGAGCACCCCTCACGAGGCTGCAGAGGCCCCGAGGTGGCTCCCAAGTGGCGCGAAAAGCTGGGGGCACCTCCCAGACGTCTGGTGTCTCGATGATTCTTGAGACACAGGCCCCCGACCTCTCGACCGCTTCACCGGGACGGGTCGTTCATCCCGCATCGTTTTTTGACGGTCCCGAGGCCCGGTATCAGGGCCCCGGGGAACCGAAAACGATGATACACCTTCGTCCCAGTCTGCTCGAGGCGCCAGATGCCTAGGCTTGGGCCAAGACCACTTCTAGCTGCAGCCGACCTCTTCTTCTGACGCCGAGTGATCTCCGCGGCCACGAGCAGCGGCTGGACGAGCGGGTCCGGCCACCCGCCCACCTTGGGGGGCAACGTCAGGGAGAGCCAGCTCAGAGGGGGTGGAACATCGACCTGGAGTCAGCAATACATCGCCGATGGGTCGACGACAGGCCCCGATGGCGAACCCGCACGCTCCTGGACGAGGTGGGCTGTCGGGCCCGCCTCGGCGATGAATGGGCGATTGGGGCTCCCCCCCTGAGCCTGGACCCCCCCTGGCTGAGGGGGAAAGTCAGGGGGGGACCGGCTCATTGGGGGGGGGAACCTTCGAGCTGGCGCCGGCGATGCATCGCCGACGGATCGGCGTCAGGCCCCCGGTGGCGCAACCGCACGTGCGTCGGCAGGGTGGGCCATCGGGCCCCTAGAGTTAGGTCGGGCGTGTCCCCCTACAGGCGGATTTGGGGCGAGAAATTAATTATACTCCAAAAATCGTCCCCAGACGAATTTTTTACTATTTTCGCACACTCGCCCTGTAGAGGGACAGGCCCGACTTAACCCTAGAGCGATTGGGGCCCCCCCGAGCCTATCCCCCCCTATCATTGCCCCTGACCTCTTCCATGCCTGGTGGCCTTCGGGTCATCACTCGGGCCTCCTGCGGCAGCCCTGGACGATCGGGGCGCCCCCAGATCGCCTTCGGCGAGGCGCAGCCGCTGGAGGGCACCCCGAGGCTGGAAGGCCTCCGAGAGCCGACGGAGAAGCCCGAAAAACCTCGAGGAGAGGCCTCCTGGCACCTTAGCGCTGCCCCCGATCACCTCCGTGAAGCGCACCCTCTCGAAGCCGCCGCTGGGCGGGCCCGTGCCGAGCTCGGGCACCCAGCGCCCCAGCAACACCTCGCCGCAGCGGCCGTCCGGCCCCGGCGCCGCCCCGAACCGCAACGCCAGCTCCTGGCGCAGCGGCAGAGAGCGGGCAGCACACGGAGGAGAGGCCTCCCCGAGCAGATGGGGCCGGAGGAACGCGCCACATATCGCCAACGCATCGCCGAAGTATCGGCGATGCGCGGGAGCGGAAAACATCGGGCGCCACATCGAGCCGCATCGCCGAGGCATCGGCGAGGCGGCGCGATCCTCCGGCCTCTCTTTTACAAAAAAAAGAGGACCGGTTCCTCTTCCTGGGTCGTCTCTCATGGCCCCGAGGCCCGGCGAGGGCCCCCGAGGCCGAAACTGGCCCAAAGCTGCCAGCTCCAAATCTCTCTGCGGCGTCGGCTCCCTGGGGGGTGTCAGCACCTCCTGCTCCTCTGGCCCCCCGGGGGCGGCAGCGGCCCCAGACCCCCGACGTCATGACTTGTTTCGTACAACGTCGCCCCTCACGAGTCTCGACCCAGTCTTGGCGGCGCGCAAAAGAGGGTGGAGGGAGGGGGGAAGGCTTCTTAGAAGGAGGCTGCTTCCTAGGAGGCGCCAGCCCTACATCTACAGATAAGGGCCGCGCCCTCTAAGAAGCAGGGGTGCTCCTGAGAAGCCCTCCCCCCTGCCCCCACCCCCCTCTGCGCGTGGTCGGTGATCTTCTGACCCGGGTCAATCCAGACCCGGGTCAATCAAGCCTTGCAAAATCCTGCAAGATCCTGCGCCCAAACCCGGGTCAACGCGAGTCAACGCGAAGGATCCTGCAAGATCCTGCAGGATCCCGCACCCAAATCCGGGTCAATGCGACCCTGTCCCTGCAGGATCCTGCAAAATCCGGCGCTCTGGCTGACCCCCGTTTGCATTGACCCCGTCTCGAAACTCCCGACGTGGCTGGCATTCCCCTGGACCGGCTTTTCATCCGGAGTCGTTTGTCTTGGCGGTCCCGAGGGCCGGCGTGGGCCTCCGTCGGCGGTGGAGAAGCCTCCCTTTCTTAGTAAACCTCCCTTCAGCGAAAACGGCCTGGGACCGAAACCGACGGACCTGGACCCACAAAGATGACGGCCGCGACGCCCTCTGGCGATTCGAAAACGGCCGACTCGCTCATCGACGCGTCAGGGTGGGAGGTCTGTCCGCCCCCGACTCCAGAAGCCACCATAGGAAAAGCCTCCCGTCGTGATTTCTGCACTGCCCGAAGGGGGCCTGGGCAAGGCCCGAGGCCGGGAGAGGAGGCCCGGCACTGCACTGCAGGAGCCGCGAGCGCGAGGTGGGCAAGAGGCGGGGGCATCGGCAGGAGCACGAGCGGCGGCAGCAGCGGGAGCGCGAGCAGAGGTCGAAGCTGAACAAGATCACAGCAGGGGCTCCACTACCATTAGTAGGAGGGGGATAATCCTGCTCCTCATCCTCCTCCTCCTCCTCCTCTTCCTCCTCCTCCTCCTCCTCCTCCTCCGCACAAACATACAGTAAGGGCCCGACCAAAAGAAACGTTCCACAAGATCACAGTAGGGGCTCTGGAATCCAGAGGCTGGATCCCTAAACTCTGGAGTTTAGGGTTTCTCCTCTTCCGATTCCCCTGGGATCCGGAGGTGAGAATCCCTAAACTCCGGAGATGAGGGGCAGGCTCCTTGGCAGCTCTTTGGCTCCTTATTACGATGAGTATGTGGATGATGCTGCTGATCGTAATGACGACGATGGCGACGGCCGTCACGATGAGGGTGACGATGGCACTGGCGATGACCATGGCGATCTGGATGGCGATGACGACGAAGATGACGATGATGATGGTTATGCTGATGATGATGATGATGATGGTGATGATGATGATGATGATGATGATGATGATGATGATGATGATGATGACGATGCTGATGATGATATGCAAATGACTATGACGATGACGATGACGATGACGCTGGCGATGGCGATGGCGATGGCGATGATGATGACTATGACGATGACGATGACGATGATGATGATGATGATGATGATGGTGGTGATGGCGTTGATGATGATGATAACGTTGATGATTAACATGACGATGATGATGATGATGACGATGACGCTGTTGCTGATAACAGTGACGGCGACGACGCTGCCGAGGCCGATGGCCATGATGAGGCGACGACTCTGCTCTCCTCTCCGCCTCTCTCCTTCTCTCCTCGTCTGCTCTCCTCTCCTTCTTTTCTCTCCTTTCTTCCTCTCCTCTCCTCTCGTCCTCTCGTCTCCTCCTCTCCTGCCCTCCTCTTCCCCCCCTCCTGTCCTCCCCTCCTGTCCTCCTCTTCTCTCCTCCTCTCCTCTCCTCTCCCCTGCTCTGGTTTCCTCTCCTCTTCCCTACCCCTCACCCTTCCTCTGCTACTCTCCTCCCCCCCATCTCCTCTCCTCCTCTGCTTTCCTCTCCCTCTCCTCCTCTCCTCTCCTCTCCTTTCCTCTCCTCTCCCTCTCCCCTCTCCTCCTCCCTGCTCCTCCTCTCCCCTCCTCCTCTCCTCCTCCCCTCTCCTCTCCTTCCGTCCTTTCCTCTTTCCGAAGGAACAGGCCGAGGAGGAGGGGAGGAGGACACCCACCCTGGAATCAGGAGCTTAAATCCCTAAACTCCAGAGTTTAGGGCTTCCGACCTCCGAATTCCTGGGTCTACCGGGGCATCCTCCTCCGCCTCCTCCTCCTCCTCCTCCTCCTCTTCTTCTTCTTCTGATGATGATAATTAATATTATTATATTGTGACTATTCATACTATTATTCTTTTTATTGTTTAGTAGTTTTGTGATATTTATTAGTGTTCGTCTTATGTTTCTTCCTTAGTTGTAATAGTGTTAGTGTTTCGTATTACTCGTATTATTGTTATTCTCATTATTAGTATTAGTATCCTAATCTTCATTCCTTCCGTCCGTCCGTCCCTCCTTCCTTCCTTCCCTCCTCCTCCTCCTCCTCCTCCTCCTCCTCCTCCTCCTCCTCCTCCTCCTCCCCCTCTTCCCCCCCGCCCCAAAAAATACAGCGGGGGCTCCTCCTCCCTGGCCACGCGCGACGAATGGCGCCCGTTCCGGAACACTGGCAGGCCGAGGCCCTCCCTGGCCAGCCTGCTCTCGGGCGGGGGGGGGGCGCTCCTCAATCGGCGGCGCGCGCGCAGGGCAGGAGGAGGAGGAGGAGGAGCGGGAGAAGGAAGGGGAGGAGGAGGAGGAGGAGGAGGAGGAGGAGGAGGAGGAGGAGGGAGGAGGACGAGGGAGAAGGAGGAGGAGGAGGAAGAGGAGAGGAGGGGGCGAAGAAGGGAGGAGGAGAAGGAGAAGAAGCCCCGGGATCGAACCGACAGATCGGACCGGCGATCGAGGTACATCGGATCGGCGGAAATCGGCAGCCGAGCCGGAAAAAGTCGAAATCGGCGGACATCGGGAGGCCAGCATGCCTCCAAGGAGAAAGCGGAGCCCAAATCGGAATCCCAAATCGAACCAAACTGGAATCGGAAGCCATCGATGTCAAATCGAATCGGAGGGATCGCAACGAGCCCTGGCAGGGGGGCAACGATAGGGGGGTCTGGCACAAGAAGGGAAGCGTCCACCCGCGGGATCGGCGACACATTGCCGATGGATCGGCGATGGGCCCACACTTGCGAATCCGCACGTTCCTGGAGAGGTGGGGGCTATCCGGCCTCCTATCGGCGAACAATGGGCGACCGGGGATCGATGCACCCTTCCCTGAGCCTATCTTGGCGGCGCGAACAAGGGGATAGGGGGAGGGGGGGAGACTTCCAAGAAGCCTCCCCCCCCTCCCCTTACACCCCACTTCGCGTGGCCGATTCAAGCAGAGGAGGAGGAGTCTAGGATTCTAGATTGGCCTCGCGCGCGCCCGCGGAGGGGCACGAGGTCCGGGGAGGAACAAAGAGGCCACCGACGACGTCGACAACGGCGAGTTTGATAAATGACACGACGATGGCGACGGACGAACGAAGGAGGAGGAAGAGGAAGAGAAGGACGAAGAGGAGATGGAGGAGGAGTAGGAGGAGACCAAAACACCAGTGCGTTGGCCACGGGTTCCGCGATCGTCCGGGGACATGAATACATGAAGATACGCCCTCCCCAAGCGCAGCCTGCACACCTGAACGCTTGAAGATTTGAAGGCCTGTACATCGAAACGATGATATGAAAATCAGCTGGTCTGTCCGACGACCTGAAGACATGATGACCTGACGACCAGCAGCCATGGCCGACGACCCGAAGACGCGAAGGCCTGAAGACCAGCAACCCTGGCCGACGACATGAAGACGTGACGACCTGAAGATGTTGCCGTGGCCGACGACCTGAAAATGCGAAGGCATGAAGACATGCTGCCCTTGCCGACGACCCGAAGACACGAAGACGTGAACAAAAACCTAATTATCGGGTCTTCGAAAGAGCGTGTTCTACCGCTGCTGACGGAAAACGGGGGGGGGTCACTACCGGTTCGAGCCCCTCCCCCCCCCCTTCCCGAAAACCGGGGGGGGTCACTACCGGTTCGAACCCCTCCCCCCCCCCCATCATGAAAAAGGGGGGTTCACTACCGGTTCGACCCCCCTGGGGTCACTACCGGTTCGAACCCCCCCCCCCCCCTCGAAAACCGAGTGGGGGTGCGGACAGTGGTGGGGA